ATCTCACAATTTGGGTCAAAAGCGCCCTATATCAAGTCAAAATGGGATAGTCTGTTCGAACCGGCATGTTGTTGTTGTAGCGGCTACAACAACCCCGCGCAGATCGGTTAGTCCCTCAATCGTTGTCGCCAAGCTCCACTAACGACAGCCCTAGGAAGCGTGCAGCCTCGACGGGGTCTGTCCATAGGGACAGGGGCGTTAGCGTCGTGGGGTTTAGAGGGTATAAGAAGACATACTGTGAGTCATGGGGCGACTCTCCGCATGCCGGACATTCGTTTACCTTATTTTCACTGTAAAAATTACCGTAGATCCCCGGTAAAAATTTCCGTATATCCACGTGGAAAGAAGTTATGCAACTTCTCCGGCAACACAGAAAGGAGAATTCTGCGTAGTAAAGGTTATAATCAGGGACGTAAACCGGATGAAAAATTTGGTCGGTTCGGTACAGCGGTTCGAACCGTTTTTGCACTTTTGGATTGGTTCGTCAAAGCGGTCTTTTGGTCTTTGAACCGGGGTTTCGGTTAGGTTCAACGGTTCGAAAAACAAAAAAATAACGCGCAAGTTTAATTGTCAAGTGTCAAGTGCAACAACGCGCAATGTTAAGGGTCAAGTACCTGTCAAATGAGATGGGTTGCCTTTACATTTGATATTGTCCATGGTGAACAAACATGGTTGCTATTACCATGTTTAACAAAAAGAAAAAAAGTTGGTATATTTATCTACTGAAAATTGGTTGAAACGAACCTTTAAAGTTTAAAGCTTTATGGAAAGTGATTCGGCTTTCGGTTCGGATCAAACATTTGTGGAAATTTTCGGTTCGGTTAATAGTTCAGTTAATTAATAGAAAAAATTGGTTTTTGTGGTTCAAACCCAGTTCGAAAGAATTTCCGCTTCTCCGGCAACACAGAAAAGAGAATTTTGCGTAGTAAGGGTTATAATCCCTAAGCGCTGCCGAAAGCCGCCAACGCAGAGAAATAAGTTCTGCCCCACTTCTCCGGCAACACATATTCGACGTAATTCACATAACCTCCTACCGTGGATCTAAGGCAAGCAAACATCTTGATATTGCCGTGGACCTAGGGTAATTTTTACCGTGGATATACGGGAATTTTTACCGTGCATCTACGATAATTTTTACCGTGGAAGTACGGTATTTTTTTACCGTGGATTTGGGGTAATTTGTTACCGTGAATCAACGGTAATTTGTTACCGTCTCAAGACATTCTATTGTTCTAAACTCTACAGGGATTTCCGATTTATCTGTAAGCATCTAGACTCATTCGCGGAGATAAGGTCCAAAAAGCATGTCTCTTTTGATTTCCGAGGATAACTTTAAGACAGTTTTTGTTTCCCTCATGTTGTGATAGCTGTAAACCTTAAACTTTAAAGCCGTTTTTATATAGTTTTAAATTTTCGATTATCGCACTCTTGGAGCAAAAGAGGGATATGTAGTCGTCGGCATTTTTTTTTATCTTTACGTTAAGTAATTCTTTAACTCACCTGGGTAGTTTTACCACAGCCTGTGTCACCTTCAAGCACTACAACTGGATGTTTACGTATGGACTCCAAGATTTGATCTTTATTATCGTGTATAGGTAGAGATTCATCGCGTTTCAAATCAAAGTTATATTTAGTGTATACGTTATCTTCAATTCTATGTACTTTGGGTTGAATTTCCTCTTCTTCACTCAAGTCCTCTAATTCATCCATACAGGTCGACGAAGTGGCACCGTGTCGTGATGAATGAGCATCTTCCATCGGATCGTCATTTTCCTAATACAAAAATATCATAAATACATTGCGCAAATAATTATTCACAATTTGTACCTCTAACATTCGCCTCCGTTCTTTTTCAGCAATCTTTTTGGAATATTGGTCTCCAAAATATTCACGTTTAATGGGTTTGCCACTATCAATTTTCCCCGCAGTCGCAGTAAGGCTCCCAGAAACACAACCCCTTGGAACAGACTCGCGCTTAAACTCTTTCGAGAAATCGAAAAAAGCCATAACTTCATCCATTTTGCTTCACTTTGCTGTCGTGTACAAATGCAAAATACTTTAGCCTTAAAATCACAAGTTTTTAAGAAATTTCCACAATTTTCACAGAAGCGCATCAGGAAATATTACGCTCCGTTATTTCTCACAAAAGTGCTGCCAATCATTGTTTACTCTAAATTTCCACCTGATGGGAAATTTTAATAACACTTTAGCTGTGTTTCTTTGGTAATCCAAAGTGTTTCCATTTAAGTGACAAAAAAAGACAACGTGAATTAGCTGTTTCTAAAAATCTGGGCACGAAATATTTTTTTTAGCGTTCCCGTACTTCTGGACAATGTTCCAATTTTGAGAGCAAACTTTTCGCTTATTCTCTAATTACCGCATCCGGATTNAAATATTACGCTCCGTTATTTCTCACAAAAGTGCTGCCAATCATTGTTTAAGAAAGCGAAATTTCCCTTTGCTTCAAGCCATTTGTGCTGTGTATGGGGGTGTTTGAAGGTTTGACAAACCGCTTGAGGGAAATTTGAGCAAAAATCAAAATTTTTTGATTTTCTGGCCGCCATGTTGATGTTTGATCAAACCGCTTGCGTTGTGTATAGCAAAATCGCCTCATTCGCAACGAAATTTTCACCGAGTAAGGACGTAAGAGAGGAAAATGAACGAAAACCACAATATTTAGCATTGCGAACTGGAAGAAAACTAAAATTCCACCTGATGGGAAATTTTAATAACACTTTAGCTGTGTTTCTTTGGTAATCCAAAATGTTTCCATTTAAGTGACAAAAAAAGACCACGTGAATTAGCTGTTTCTAAAAATCTGGGCACGAAATATTTTTTTAGCGTTCCCGTACTTCTGGACAATGTTCCAATTTTGAGAGCAAACTTTTCGCTTATTCTCTAATTACCGCATCCGGTCCGGATAGATAGGGAAAGAAATTATCGTGAACATCGACCTTTATCCATTTTTACACTTACGATCCAATACGTTCCAACTTTCGCTCTCTATTACCCATTTTGTTGAGTACGGGAATGATTTCTGGGCTGTTTTGGGCACCCGCGGGATCGCGCGTTGCGTACGGGAAAGAACCTACAACTTTGGCGTTGCGTTGGCGTTGGCGTCGCTTCGACAGCTGACTATGAATACACGCATTTACTGATATTTAAAGCTCAGTTTTGCCATAATTAGACTCAACTTGATTTGAAAATTTAGATTTGTATATTTAGACTGGGTTGTGGGATAGATCGAGAAGCAGTAACGCCTCTTTAAGAGCTAGTTCTGCGCTAGTTCTGAACCAGCGCGATTTACTACAGGGAACCTATAGAAACGACACTATCGATAGTGGGAATAATAAGCAAACCATCGATACTATCGATAGTGCCAGCTCTACTTTTTAAAACTGTTTTGAAGCCGCGTAGTTTATTTGTATATTCATTGCTTAATTACTTAAAAACAACATTGCCTATTGTGTTATTTATCGAGTCTTGCCTTTAAACTCTCAAAATATGACCAGTGGTTATCAATTAAATGAAGAAAACGATAAGGAACGAACAACATCGGCAGCATCGGTGACAGCGGCAACAAGCGCGACTGATACACAAATCGACAGTGTTGGTAGTGGTGGCAGCGATATCGCTGAGCATATCAGGAAGTTTGTATTTACCAATCAAAGCGCAAGTGCATCAGAAAACGGCGTAGCAGCTGAATCTGTTGAGAATTTGGAAATTAAAATACCAGAGGTAAATATGTCATAAACATTCTTATGTGTTAATACATAGATAAACGAACGGATTTTTCAAGTATGCATTTGTCCAACAATGATGTAACTAGAATTTTCACTTTAATTTATAGCTTTTACAAAGCGGCTACTCTTTCTACACTTGGCCGTGTGCCCCTGTTTTAGCTTGGTTTTTGTGGGAAAGGCGCCAGAACCTTGTCGGCAAACGTGTACTCGAGTTANTGTAACTAGAATTTTCACTTTAATTTATAGCTTTTACAAAGCGGCTACTCCTTCTACACTTGGCCGTGTGCCCCTGTTTTAGCTTGGTTTTTGTGGGAAAGGCGCCAGAACCTTGTCGGCAAACGTGTACTCGAGTTGGGTGCGGGCACAGCGCTTCCTGGTATTTTGGCTGCAAAGTGTGGTGCACGTGTTATACTAAGCGACAATTGCATATTGCCAAAGTCGTTAGCGCACATACGTAAATCTTGTTTGGCTAATAACCTTGTGCCAGGGAAGGATATAGAAGTAATCGGTTTCAGTTGGGGGCTGCTACTAAATAGTGTTTTTAATATTGGATCACTTGATTTGATAATCGGTGCTGACTGTTTTTACGACCCAAGCGTATTCGAAGATATACTTGTAAGTATTTCATTTCTACTGGAGCGCAATACCGGTGCAAAATTTATTTGCACTTACCAAGAGCGTAGCGCAGATTGGTCTATTGAAGCGCTGCTAAAGAAGTGGAAGTTGCGTGCGGTGCCAATAATCATTGACGACGTTGGTAAAAGCTCTGGCATTGATCTGGTCGAATTAATGGGCGGTCATACTATTCACTTGATCGAAATAACAAGAGAACATTAAACGGAATATACAAACATACATATTTCTTACCAAATTGCTGTGTTATAAAGAAAAAAAAATAACCATGTCTGGCGTAGCACGTAATTCATATAAACTATTTGTCGGTAATCTGCCATGGACCGTTAGTCAAAAGGAACTGCAGTCCTACTTTTCAAACTTTGGACACGTTGCCAACGCTGCTATAGTTTTTGACAAGCAATTGGGTTTCTCAAAAGGTTACGGATTTGTATCATTCAGCAGTCGCGATGGCTTCAATAGTGCGTCTAATAAAAATACCCATTTCATCGAAGGAAGGGTACTTAACGTGCAGCCAGCCAACTCTTAACCCATCTTAAAATAATTGGGATAGATAATCAGAGTATACAAGCAGCTTTGAATATTAATTAAGAAAACCATATATTTACATCTTTACGTAATACTTTATAAATTTCGAAAATAAAATACATATGTATGTATTTCTATAAAGCTCAATTCTCTTATTATTTACTTATCTACACAAGTATTTCGAAGTGTCTTAGTTATTTACTAAGATAGTTTTTGTACTGTTTGCCCACAGCCTCCTGCACGTTTTTGTAACCTCTCTCTTCCAATAGTTGGGATAACTCTTTCTTAATGCGCGTGACTACTGGCGGTCCCTCATATATAAAGGCTGTGTACAATTGTAAATACGAGGCGCCTGCTTCCAACTTTTCTAGCGCATCTTGACCTGAAGAAATGCCACCAACACCTACAATGGGAATCTTACCGCCGGTTTGCGCGTAAATATCGGCAATTAATTGAGTTGATTTTGATCGTAGAGGAGTACCACTTAAACCTCCGATTTCATTAGCCAGTTCTACTTCCGTTAACTTTTCGCGTGCTATTGTAGTATTAGATACAATTAAACCTTCAACACGGCAAGTTTTCTTATTTATAACCCCAACTATGTCTTTGATATCTTGCTTGCTTATATCGGGTGAAATTTTTAATAAAATGGGAATTTTATTATTGACTTCCAACGAATTACGGGCTTCAACAATTGCCGCCAATAATTGTTCGAGCTCTTTCTTACCCTGTAAGTCACGTAATCCGGGTGTGTTGGGGCTACTGACATTAACCACTAAGTAGTCTGCTATGGGACCAAATACCTTGACGCCATTTACGTAGTCTGCTATAGGGGAATCTGAGGTTTTATTCTTACCCAGATTTACACCCAACACACCGTCAAAACCACGCACATTTTTCAGCTCGCTTAAACGCTCGAATACCACTCGATGACCTTCACTATTAAAGCCATATCGATTTATGATAGCCTCATCATTCACTAACCGAAAGACACGTGGTGTCGGATTACCAGGTTGTGGTTCAGGCGTAACCGAGCCAATTTCAGTGAAACCAAATCCTAGTTTTGTCAGACCCTCGACAGCTTCACCCTGCTTATCGAAACCGGCTGCAATGCCAATTGGGTTGGATATTTTTTTGTGAAAAAATGCAATGCCCTGTAATACATATAAATAGAGATTATTTCAATTGCATAAAGTTTTTATATACGTACCAAATTCTGTGAGTCTGGTTGACGTGGTGCTGGAAAAACTTTATACTTGCAAGCTAACACGGCCAAGTTATGGCTCATCTCTGCCGGCAAGTATCGCGTCAAAGGCATTAATGTATTTTTATAGAATTTCTCATTGCCTTTGTAAACGCAAACGCCCGCATAAAAAACGGTCGCGCCGGCGGTCACAATCGCCAAAGATTTTAATTTATTCTGCAAAGAAGAGGTTATAAAATATATAAAAAGATTTCCTGGAGAATTCCTGGCTGGATGGGGGTCGATTTGCGCGGCAAAGAAATTTTTTCATGATAGCACACTTACATTTCGTTTTGGGTGGACAGGTTCCCTAATAGGTATTGCACTTAATAAACTTGTTATTCGCATTTTCAATCAAATAATTGTTTTTTTTTGTGACCGAATCTAGATTATTTAAAAAATAAATCGACCACAAACAGCTGACTTTTTTGATTGTATAGATATAATAGATAAAAAATCGATTCCGATTACACTCGAGAATCGAAGATATTCTCGAAATAATCGATTTTAGAGAATCGGTTCTAAAGCTCGTGTTCCGATACTTTTCGTGGTAAGTGCCCTTTCAGACACGTCAAGTCTTGGAAGCAATTTTTTTCGCATTTCCTTGTGTGTTTTCTATTTTCTTCCACACGCATCAACTTTAATTGAATTCAAGTCCTTGGTTCTTAAATGGGAAGCACCGAAAATATCAAAAGAGACAGGAAAACTTGAAACGAATTGACGGTACGGTGGTATCTGTACTCTTCCCCGCTCTCCCCACCTCCTTCGCCTACGAACGAGCAGACTTGAAAGCAAGACTTGACGTGTCTGAAAGGGGACTAAATCCTGTAAAATTGTCAAACAGCAAAATTACTCTCTGAAGTAAGACTGCTTTTACACAGTTCAAGTATTGAATTCAATTCTGCTCGCATGTGGAAGAGAAGGGGTGAGAAGAAAAGGGACGAGTACACATGCGTCTGTACCGTCAAGTCGTTTCAACTTTCTTGCTTTGCTTTTGGCATTTTCGTTGCTTCCCATTTAAAGAACCAAAAACTTGAATTCAACAGAATTGAAACGTGTAAAAGCAAATAGAAAACACAAAAGAGAATGAGCAAGAATTGCTTTCAAGTACTTGAATCATGTAAATCGGGTGTAAGAGTAAAAAGTGAGTAACAACAAATAATATGGGAACAAAAAAGCATTTTTCGTGTAAAAACATCAACCAGTAATCGCTTGACACTTTTCATGATCTTAACACATGGTTCAATTATTAAAGGTTTTGTAAGTAGCTTTTTCTAAAATTTGACACTCCCATCCACAGGGATGGTTTTTGGAAGCAGGAGAAAAAGGGGAAGAATTCAATCACACTTCTAAAATGGTGGCTAAATTCCACAAACAGGTATGGAATTCCAATAACTAAACATTTTTGTTTGCCGAATGTATTGTGAATTTTCTTGGATGAAAACAAATAATGTAATGTTAAGAGATGTAAGGAGAGAAGTTTCGCTAAAACCGACATCGTTGGTTTTCAAAAACTATCAATAGTGACAGTTTTCAACTCGATATTACTAACGATAGTATCCCAGCCTTATTGAGTAACCGGTACAGTCCCAGGTACGCAAGTATCTGCCACAAGAGAAATATAAAAAGAAGTAGCTCTGATCCAGTACTCCATGAAGTTACAGGATTTTACCCGAACTTGCAGGAAGTTGCAGGCAAAATGTTCCCGTACTCCAAAAATGAGCTCTGATCCAATACTTTTCGTGAAAAATCCTGTAAAACTGTCAAACAGCAAAATTACTCTCTGAAGCGAGAGTAAAAAGTGAGTAATAACAAAAATAACAAAAATAATAATAACAAAAATATGAAATAAATAAATAAAATAAATAAACAAAAAATCCATTTTTCCTGTAAAAACGTCAACCAGTGATTGCTTGACACTTTTCATGATTTTACCAGAAGAAAAAGTTCGGGTAAAATCTTGCAACTTCATTCTCTACACAACTCTCCAAAAGTCGCTCTCATTTACAGGATTTTGGAGGATTTTGGAGTACGGGAACATTTTTCCTGCAAGTTCGTGTAAAATCCTGTAAGTTCATGGAGTACTGGATCAGAGCTACTTTTTACTCTCACCTCAGAGAGTAATTTTGCTGTTTGACAGTTTTACAGGATTTTTCACGAAAAGTAGCTCTGATCCAATACTTTTCGTGAAAAATCCTGTAAAACTGTCAAACAACAAAAGTACTCTCTGAAGTGAGAGTAAAAAGTGAGTAACAACAAAAATTACGGGAACAAAAAAAACATTTTTCTTGTAAAAACGTCAACCAGTGATTGCTTGACACTTTTCATGATTTTACCAGAAGAAAAAGTTCGGGTAAAATCTTGCAACTTCATTCTCTACACAACTCACCAAAAGTCGCTCTCATTTACACGATTTTGGAGGATTTTGGAGTACGGGAAAATTTTTCCTGTAACTTCCTGCAAGTTCGTGTAAAATCCTGTAAGTTCATGGAGTACTGGATCAGAGCTAGTATCTACCACCACTAATAAATTTGTTTTGGTCACTGTTTGGCAGGTGATATATATATTTTGAAATTAATACAGACCCTGGATTAAACTAAAAGGAAAACTCGTAGTTTCAATGTCTACACACGATATAAAATTGGAAGTTTGTGTCGACTCAATCGGATCAGCACTAGCTGCAGCGGAAGGTGGGGCGGCACGTATTGAACTCTGTTCGGCGTTGACAGAAGGCGGCCTAACACCATCTCCTGGTTCGTTGAAGACGATCAAAAAGCTCATTAGCATACCCATTTACTGTATGCTACGGCCGAGGCGCGGTAATGACTTCACCTACTCAAACTCAGAAATGGAAGTAGTGCTTTTGGATTTGGAACTACTGCGTGCAAATGGCGCTGATGGTTTTGTCTTTGGTGCCCTCACCGACCAACGTACAATCGATGTGGAAAAATGTCATCGTGTAATAGAACATGCTGCAGGCATGCCAGTCACATTTCATCGAGCATTCGATCTTACCAATCCGCAATTGATGCATGAAACAGTCACTATAATAAAGGAGCTGGGTTTTAAGCGTTTACTTAGTAGCGGCTTTCGTGCGACTGCTATCGAGGGAAGTGAAAATCTCGCACAATTAATTGCCAAACATCGTGACATCGTCATAATGCCAGGTGCAGGTATTAGCGTAAGCAATCTGGATGAATTGTTGACGGTTACAAAATGTATAGAATTTCATGCTTCAGCACAGTCTGTGGCAGGTGCACCTTCAATTAATGGCGGCGTGGCGCGCATGGATTGCGATGTCACGATGGGTAAGCAAGATATAGAGCCATATACCACCACGGATGTTCATGTTGTGCGTCAAATGGTAAGCATTGCAATGGCGGCAAAGTGAATATGGTATCAAAACGCTGCAAAAACTAATAGTATACGATTTAACTGGTAAATTTCATGCATATGTATTTAAAGAATATAAAAATAAAATATTTTAAATTTTAAGAGAAGTAGAAATTTAGATCTGAAATTTTCCGTTAAGCGCAATAAATATGTACTTGAAACCATGATAAAAATATAGTAAGGTAGAACCGCTGAGAGTCACTTTTAAAATTCTTGACGTTTCCAAACAATTTAATTTTTAAATTTACTCACAAACTCACACACACATTTACATTTTCAATTTCAAGCAACAACAATTTCGAACAATTTCAATTTTTTATTTTCACTTTTATATGATTTTAAAATGTTGGCAAACTTCAAAAAAAATCATGGCCGACAAATTGAGAGAACGGTTCTACCTTGCTATGTTTTTATCATGCTTGAAACGTTATATGAAAAACGTTAATTAAGCTGGACCAAACAATTTTTAATAACTATACCTGTTTTTATGCAATGTGGTAACATTGTGGATGTAAATAAATTACTTAATTCTGCAATAAATTTAACTTTCAATAATTGTATTTATTTATTTACTTGTACATACATATATGATCCGCACTGCTTGCAATACATTTTACCAATACTTTTATTTAATTGAACGGAACTAATCACTGCAATTCAATAATATCCCCGAAGATAATTTAGTTAGGCCTTCTTAAGTAAAGCTGTTCTAAGAGGCCTACAATTTACGCTATTGCAAAAATTTATATTTGCCATTACAAATGAATTTCAATAAACATTTTAAGTTGCAATAACACATATTAGATATGAACCTTAAGCAAATATTTCAAATGTATGTATGTATGATTTTTAGCAACTTTAAAAGAGCTCCTCCAAAAACCATCTGAAATACGGCCTATAAAAGCCCTTCTGGAGGGCCTTCCATGGGTGGCGAAAGAAGGCCTTCAACACTCCCACACACTGCCACTCCATACAAAAAAAAAGGAATGTAGAGTGGAAGATCTATTGACTCGCAGGAAGGCCTCTCGGAAGAACTTTTAACTGCTGAAATTATCTACTGGGATATTTCCTATCCCTCAAACGTATGTATGTACATCATATGTATATAAAATATCCATTTACTTGAATATGTATTTAATAAATGTTCTTTAATCTTATATCAAGAGTAAATAGAATGATTAATACGTTTATTGTATTGTAGTAAGAACACACTTTCACGTAATGTACACATAATACATTTAAATTGGAAAAGTTAACGCTAAAAATAGTTCCCTTTGACTGGAGTTTTAACTATGTAGTTGCTTTATAATTAAATAGAAAATATTAACAATAACAATCGACACATAGTGATTAAGAATTTTAAAATAAATGATGATTTAAAGTTTAAACTATACGAGTTGTTTTTTACAAAACTTTGTTGGAGTAATAGGTTTTTCGTTTCTTTAAATTAAATAATCAGAATAATTTCTGCAAAAACATGTTAAAGATGTAGACAATCTGGAAAGCGAGCTGAATGACGATATGACAATGAGACAATGGCCTAAACCGCAATCGTCCCTGTGAGAGAACTATTCTAGTAGCATTGGACGTGTCAAAGGCGTTTGGCACCGTCAGCCACTCCACGCTGCTTAAACGGTGGTCGACACTCGTCAGTAATGTTTAGAGACAAATCGAGCAAACCTAGAAAAATAAAACAGGGGGTCCCAAAGGGTGGTGTCCAAGTTATGTAGACTCCAGACCTGTGAATGCCGTTCCAGGCCCACAACCACCTGACATCGACGAGACGGAGCTTCATCTGCCTCGGAAGACTAGAACCACAATAGCTTAACTTCGCTCTGGCTACTGCAGCAGGTTAAACTCATACCTGAGCAGATTAGACGCAGATGTGCCATATGAGTGTCCGGCATGCGGAGAGAAACCCCACGACTCGAAACATCTCTCATCGTATGCCCGGAAAACCCGACACAGCTAACGACTTTGTCCCGACCCCATTGAGGCTGCGCGCTTACTGGGGCTTCCGTTAGTTGAGTTTGACGACAACGACTGAGATATTACCCGATCTGGGCGGGTTCGACAGCAAAAAAATACAACACCAACAACGCTGAATCAATCAAAAGCCGCAATACCCCCCAACATCAAGACTCACTTCTGTTTTTCGTTTCCGTACGCTCTGTCGCAATCAAATACTGTTTTATTAATATTAAATATCATTTTATATGCATGTATGTAGTTTGTGTATGTATACTTTATTTTTTTTGGAACAATGATGATAACAGCAAATCTAATGCAGCTCCCCATCATCGGTTATTTAGGTGAACTAGTTATATTTGTGTGTATGTGTTAGTTCTAAAATATTGCATTTTTATATGCTAACAATAATAAGTATGCAATTAAAGCAAAAAAGGCAAAGCATTTTTGTTTATATTTTTAGTTTGTTTTACACAAATTGCAAAAAAAAATCAATTTTTATTATACATTTACAAAGNTAGTTTGTGTATGTATACTTTATTTTTTTTGGAACAATGATGATAACAGCAAATCTAATGCAGCTCCCCATCATCGGTTATTTAGGTGAACTAGTTATATTTGTGTGTATGTGTTAGTTCTAAAATATTGCATTTTTATATGCTAACAATAATAAGTATGCAATTAAAGCAAAAAAGGCAAAGCATTTTTGTTTATATTTTTAGTTTGTTTTACACAAATTGCAAAAAAAAAAATCAATTTTTATTATACATTTACAAAGAAAATACCATGATAAAAATATAGTAAGGTAGAACCGCTGAGAGTTACTTTTAAAATTCTTGACATTTCCAAACATTTTAATTTTTCAATTTACTCACAAACTCACACACACATTTTCATTTTCAATCTCAAGCAACAACAATTTCGAACAATTTAAATTTTTTATTTTCAATTTTATATGATTTTAAAATGCTGGCAAACTTCAAAAAAAAATCATGGCCGACAAAATGAGAGAACGGTTCTACCTTGCTATGCTTTTATCATGGAAAATACTTTTAAACTTAACAGAAAGTCGAAAGAAGAGAAGGAACAAATCAAAAACGGCACAAAAAATACAAATTTAAAACATTTAATAAGCTACAAACATTCCCTAAAGCTCATTTGATATGAATAGCGAGGCGGCAACAGGCAAGCAGGCAGTAGCAGCAGCGAGGACACTGTTGGAAAGATGCGTACAGATGCGTACATACAGCAGCAAGCGGAGATTTACATATTTCCAANGGAAAATACTTTTAAACTTAACAGAAAGTCGAAAGAAGAGAAGGAACAAATCAAAAACGGCACAAAAAATACAAATTTAAAACATTTAATAAGCTACAAACATTCCCTAAAGCTCATTTGATATGAACAGCGAGGTGGCAACAGGCAAGCAGGCAGTAGCAGCAGCGAGGACTCTGTTGGAAAGATGCGTACAGATGCGTACATACAGCAGCAAGCGGAGATTTACATATTTCCAATTTTTTTCATTAAAACTTTTCATATACGCAAGGTTATTTATAAAATGTGCAGTAGCATTATTTCCAACACTTTTATACATTATTATTATTTTTTTTTTTGATTATTGATAACATTTAGATTACTAAAAGAATTGTGGCAAACATATACACACTTGATTATAATAAACTATAGTGAGAAACCAGCAAAAAAGCAACTCCACAAAACTTAACTACAGGCTTGTGAAATAAAACTCTTAAGTACTTTAAAATACTTTTGAAACAGTATTTTATTTCAATAATTCTAAGCACTTAAAAACTTTAATAACACGCCTGCGCGAAGACGAACTGACATCTCGTAAATATTTTTAACTGCAAAATCCCGTATTCGCATTCAACCAACAAACAAACAACTTTATGAGACTGAGTTTTTCGCTACGTAGGAAAATAAATTTGTTTTCCGAACACATCTCTTCGGCGAGCGCTACATTTCGCACAGTGAAATCAACTACAATGCTGTTTAACGAATAGAACACAACATAAAGAGCTTTTATTTCAGTGTTTGAAAGATAGCGATGCTGAGGTTTTTTTGCTCACCATTTGAGCACATGTTCAGAGCACAAATTTCGTGTAATTCACATACACATTTTGCATGCCACACATTTAAAATAATTTCTAACGCATTATTACCAATATTTCCAACTGCCTTTTGGTGATGGTGTGTGCACACTGCTGCACAGTTCAAGCTTTATGGGTCACCTCATCTGTACGTATGCAATTCCACATGTTTACCATCCTCCTTTTTCGTCTTGTCGCCATCTCTGCTGTGTTGCACGCCTTTTGGCGAATAAGTGCGGTGCCCGTAACTTTTTGTAAGATTATATTTTTGTCTAATCAATTAATGTCTAATCAAGCTACTATATAATTATATAAACTGCTTAACATTAGGCAACCAACAAACGTCAATTAATAGTGCATGTTTATAATTAAACCGAATAGAGGGAACATTTTAATTTTAGATACAGAAAATTTTAACAAATAATGTAAATTACATCAATAGTTGTATTCTGAAAATACAATTAAATTCAAACGGAAATTTTATGTTCATATGTATGTATTTCAATTCATGAAGCCGCAGCGAGCAATGAAGCGTGGATATAGAGTTTGCATTAAAAACATGACCTGACTCTAAATTTACTGCTGAGCTCTATTAATCGCTGCTTCGACATCATTTCTCAAATTAATAGCGAGCATAATAGAATTTTTGTACAGGAATGTATATAAATGTGTGATTATGTATTAGTTTTATACAATTTATGCATGTGTTGTGTGTTTGTTGCTTTAAGATAGTTTTATGCATTTTAATGAATATAATTTTTCGTTTGAATAACTAAAAACACAATTTTGTGTACACATTTTTTGTTTAAGTTGTCTACTTTTGGCTGCCTTGTTCATTCTTACAATTTATCTGCGCTCATTGTCTGTAGTTTTAATAATTTCATATATTTATGTATCTTCAAACAATGAATATCTTATTGGTTTGCAAATGCTCCTGAACGATTGTTTGTGTGTTGTAACACGGCAGCGAATCTTTGAATGGAACCCGGTGTTATTGATATACACAATGCAATGTTAATATATAAATCGTTTTCAAAATTATTATAGGGAGGCCCCTCTGTTTAGTCTTCTCTTCTTTCGCACTTTCGCTGCTACGAAAACTTCTCACTGAGAGTAATTTATTATTCCAAACATTGAATTCATGCTGTTGCAGTATTATCGCAATTCCGCCTTATGAATTTCCTACCATCCACTATATATTTTGACAATTTTATTAGCTAACAATTAAGTTTCGGTAAATTAACTCTTATATGCATTTAAAATTATATCATAAACTCACATTCAACTACTTTTTGCAGTGTTTTTTACTTGTTTTCATCTTTAAATATGTATGTAGGATTTATATGTATGTCTGTTGGTTTTGTTTGTTGCATAGTATTTACACTTAAATTATTTAATCGGTGAATTTACGATTGACATTGCGACCAAACAAAGCGTTACGGATCTCTGGCACAAGTTGTTGCGCAATCAGTTCTAATCTGGACTCCAGAGTATTTGGTACCTGGAACAATTAAAAACAGAAGTGTTTACCGAAAATTCCAAACATGCAAACACGTATATATGTGGTTTTTGTTTTCTATATGTCTGAACCAGGCATAGAAAATGGACTAAACGTCGAAATTATGTATTAAAAATAACGCTATCAGTTCATTATTTAAACAAAAAATACCTTTAGACGTCCATTGAGGGCAATCAACTCAATTCCACCGCAAGTATCCGCCGACAGATGATTATCCGTATCGATATGTACATTCACATCTTTGCCAATTTGTGTCTTGTACTCCTCAACTGTCGCGGGTAGCACTTCATTAAGTAGGCCAATATCGGCCTGACGGCAGCGTAAAATGACACTCGGTTCCATGGCCTGGTAGAGCGCTTGCAAGATAAGTTTCTGCAAAACCTCTTTATATTCACCGGGATTCTTTGTTACTTCACCAAGACGACGCCGGGCCTCATCAAGTACATTGCGAACGTGATCTTCACGCACTTTCAAAACCTTCGTTTAAAATATTAATATTAGAAATTTGTTGTTTATTTATTATAAATAATCGGTCGAATATAGATTGCAACGCAATCTCAGCTGGGTTGCTAATGGGTAATGCCACTGAAATCGATATAATATATCGTCGCTCGAATAAAGAAACAGTGTAAATGCCACATACACTATTATTCGATAATTGCACCATTGGATAGACAATCCTTTAATCTATTAGAAAAATCTTTAGTTTTCTTAAATATCTCTTTGGCTCACTAATTTATTCCCGAAAAACGAAATTGTATTTGTATGGTTTGTAATGGTTTATATAAACTTCCCATTCGTTTTTCTCAAAACTATACTTTTCATGTTGCACTACTTCATTATTCCAGCGACGATATGTAAGTATTATGAAGAAACGGTTAAAAAAATACATAAACAAAATCAAAATTTCCGCGGCTCGCTCAAAACATGCACTTGCCAAGGTAGCAACTCGGTTGCCAATTAGAATAATATTTCTGCCGCTGACAACCCAACTGAACTTCGGTTGGCATCCGTAATCGACCGATTAGTTTATTACCTTCAAACGCGCTTGGTTCAGCATATTCGATGATTGAATCTTTTTTTGCAGTTCCACTTGCTTCTCCTTCTTTTCATAGTACTCCATGATCTTGAGACGCTGTTGTTGCACCAGACGTCCCTTCTCAATATTGAATTCCTCTTCGGCTTTAGCATCGATTTCTTCGGCCTTTTCATTGGCTTCTTGCTCAATGAAAGCCATCATATGCTTAATCTGCGATTAATAAAGGTATCGAAATATTTGTTAAATATTTTATAAACAAAAACGTATTCGTTTCTATTATTACCAAGTAAAAATGTATCTTATTTTAACCTTGGGTTTCCGGTTTAACTCAGTGTTTCACGCACATATGTATATGTACATAGTATATACATATCGGGAAATTTGGATGTAAATCCCCCCCTCCGAGTTGATCGCACTTTCGATCTCAGTGTGCGATATGTGTGTACCTACACATTTATATTTATTCATTCTCCCACTATCTTTAATCACATGATGCCCCCAGTTAAGCTTTGAAATTTTAATTTCGGAGAATCCTCGAGTCCACCATCGGACCGTACATTTAAATTTCAAGCGCCAAATATGTAAACAATAAATAAGCAAGACGGGTGCATTGGTCCTAGACAGGCCTATCAAAATAATGATCAGATTTGCAAAATACTCCGCCTATTTGTGATATGTTTGTTCGTTATTTGGTATTTGTCACCCCCACAACTATCCTTTCCCAAAAAAATCCTTCACCACCCACTTCATCAGCTAATGATTTTAAAATTTTAGACCCCATTTATCTTAGCCCAACTTGATTTCCTATTCATCAGTACTTTACAGCCAATAAAACGAGATAACTGCCTTGAACTAAGCATGATACTCATTTTGTCTCACTCACACTAATACCATAATCTCCAGTGTGTCACATGACTAGCGCCGTTGATTTTTGCTCACTACCTTCCAATAAGAAGTGAAAACTCCCTTAAATTTTGTGAACTTTTTATAAAATTATGTAAATTCTTTCTTTAACAATTGAGAGTCATAAAAATAGTTAGCTTTAGCACTTTGCTGTTTCTTTTCTCTTTGTATTCACAACTATCACACACTCCGTATTCACATGACATAAATCCCATGACATGATGGCTGCCAACACTGCTGCTATCGTTCATATCGTTAAATAAAGCTGCATTAAAATTTTCCAATTGGATTTTCGCAAAAATACTATGGCAAATTGAATTGGGGAAAATTTGCACCGTTGCTAGACCATTATTCTGATATATTTTAGAATTCTTCTCACCTGTTTTTGTACATCTGCGTCGCTGAGTGCCATCTTTGCAAATTTTCTTTTTTCTTTTCACACAGAATATTTTCAGATTTCACCGATGGAATCCAGTTTTCACAATCTCAAGATTCCTAAAAATTGCAGTAAATAAACATGTAAAGTTAATTTTTCCACGCGTTTGCTAAATTTTATCTAATTTGAATAAGTTATTGACAAAAATCAGTAAAACTGAACTGCCAGGTATGTGAAAAATTATTTTACTTGCAGAATAGCAGGAATAGGTAGAAATGTGTGCCTGCGCGCCACCCCAAGTCAGTCCGTCGTGTAAAAATTTTCGACTGGCTCCAATCTTTTTTTCGATCATATGATGGGGGAAATTTGTCACTTCGAAAGAATATCCCATGAATTTAGCTGTCAATGTAAGGACAGGGTTGTAATCGGCTCATGAATACCTCAATTCAAGGCGCATCAATACAAGGTGGTGTTGATTAAACAGCTGATTGGATATTTTTGCCTCTACACTAGTACACGAGAATGTCATCCAAGACGAAATGGCGCATCATTAGGATGCCAACGAAACGAAATGCACGAAAATGACGAAAATTACCTCCTATTCCCTTTCGTTTTGGCATCCTGAAGTACCAAAAGCAATAACAAAATGCACGGGACTTTAAGTTTACTTATATGCAATTGCCACCCCTTGTATGGATGCGCCTTGCCTAAATTCGGCTTGATAATGCCCTGCAAGACGCGGCTAATGAAAAATTAAGTTCTGAACAATTTAAGCCCAAAATACAATAACGCAGTGGCAGTGGTAGTGGCAGTTTTTCGAAATCAGCTGTTTTTTAGAAAGTGTGGTGTCCAATGAAGCGACTCACAATACAGCAGTGGCAGCTGGCAGTACTGCTCAGTTTAGCCCAAATTCTAAATTCACTGCCACTGCCTTTATCGCAGCAAACTTCGCATGCTGAATTTGACATAAATAAAATGCAGCCATTTTCTGCCTAAAAGACAGCAACAAAAATATAAACAAACAAAAGGGAATGTCAAAAAAGCTGTCACTGACAACGCCGTATTTTATTTGCTGCGGCAGTGACTGCCAATATTAGCAGTAACAGTTGATTTTAACAACTGCCACTGCTCTGTTTTATTTTGGCCTTTAAGCTATTACAAATATTTCCTTTTTATAGACGTATTTGGCAGGAAGGCAACTATTTAAAGCCGTTTTTTTTTTTTGGAAATTGTTTAATAATTCCCAAAAGAACTAGGAAAATAGATAGCACCGTCTAAAATGCAAATGCCCCATTAATAGGGCTTTGTCGGAGTACAACCCTGCAAGAACAGTGACCATCATTTGACAAATCATCCCTGCAAGAACAGTGACCATCATTTGACAAATCATTTGACTGGCAAGGCTGATAGAGATTTCTGTCACTGGCTACCTACAAGTTTCTATCACATTCTAAAGGGCAGTGTGAAAAATCTGATGTAAACATTTGTGTACATATGATCTTCCGTCTTCTACCAACTTATGGCCTTATATATTGGTCTCTTTTTAACCAACGCAAAATTTGCAAATGTGTTAGTAAGATAAATGAGAATGTGTTAGTTTCCATCACACAATTCTTGTAGGGAACTGTTTCTCGAATTTTTAGAAATGACTTGTCGGAATCAAAATCATGCATCTACTCTTTAAGTTCATTTAAGGTATTAAACTTGTAACTAAAAATATAACTGTATAGTTTGTAATATTTCAACTTTAGACATCAAATAAATAAATAAAGCATCTTCAAAAAGCAGATTTATCATTGTCTTGTAGGGATGCTTATAAAAAATACTGATACACTGCATTATCAGCACTTCAAAGGGTTTCGAATCTTCGAATTTAAGGCAGCATACACAGTGCATATTTATTAGGCTAGGGGAGCTTTTGAATTAAAAGCCGAAAGATCCAGCTCTTTGTGGCAAATTCTAATAAAAACTTAAGGCTACGTTTCTTTATACATTCCAGATAATCCCCTTGACACCAAATAACTATATTTAAACTCAAAAGAGGGTTAAAAAACGTGCAAATTTAACAGTTAACACACTATTTTATAGTTTGGAACATTTGTTGCAAAGAAATTTTTTAATTTTTTTCATTTACAATTATGCACAGATTTTTGTATTTCGCATACGACTCTGCGCACTTTCAGCCTTCATGTTTATTCAGCGTTGATTCAGCTACTCGTTCGTCGACTCGTTTGAGGTGTTCGTGTCGCCATTGTCGTATCGCAGTGTTAGAAAAATTGTGTGAAAAATTGAAATCAATTTTTTGTGAACAAAAAAGTGTAAAAGTAGTAGTGCAAGAAAACCAGAAAGCGCATTTTATGTGCAAATTGCAATTGAGATTCAATATCTCCTGTGTGAAAGCTCTGAAGTATAAGAAAAAGGACTCCAATTAGGCCGTGAAGGCTACCCCTAAGCGCCAATAGGGAAGTGGAAAATTTTCGTCGTTCCGTCTAAACTAGGCACCTCAAGAGGCGCACTGAGTTTCTTTCCCAAGAACAAAGAAACAAGTTAGCAAAAGGCGAAAACAAATTGAAAAGCAATTCGTTAACCATCTAATGAGCCATCCTCGTCTTTGTATCGGCGAATAAACCGATACCAGCTGTAGTTTGCTCAGGTCTTGAGTAAACTCAACATAAAACAATTTTAGCGTCGAATTAATATTTGTTGATTAATCTACATCTGATAACGTATGCTTTTAAAATATACCAGCGTGTGAGTTTAAATTTATGTATCAATTTTAATATTGGACGCACAGGCAACGATTGCGACGGCATTTGATTTAGCAATTCATCAACAATTAGAAGCCACATTTCCGTCGAAGCATTACGTTTTTGGGTAAAAATTACCTTGGCATAAAAATAAATTCAGTACGCAGGCTTTAAACGCTTTTTGCGACACTAATTGTACAAGTTAAGGAATTCAGACGCAGTGTATCAGAAGTAGCGACGTTTTGCGGTACGCGCGAACCCTGCGAAAAACAGGTCACTTGGAATGTTAGATGCGGTGAACGCAGCAA